AGTCTAAAAATCCTTGAGGGGAGGACATGTGGACCTTAAAGGATGCGGAGGTTCCAATGAATAAAAGTCCTCTCCAAGATGAGCGTATCTCTTTGAAAATACCTGCTCTCTGCATCTCTAAGAGGCAATGCAGACAAACAGCTGAGGGGATAGACAGGGAGGTCCATCTACACACTATTTGGTGCCGGGCTGGAAGTCTCCGTTTCCAAAAGCAAAGCTGAGAATGCTTCTCTTACATCAGGTGGATGAGCCTGCAAAAGTTAAACCAAGGTTGAAAGTTAAACAAAATTAGACTCACATCTGGCAAACAAGGTCTGACTGGTTGCTGGACAACTGGAATGATGCAGAAGACGATGCCTTCTTCCACAACCTATTCAGTTTCTGAGCCTTCTCATTTACACAGATACATACACGCACACATGATTCTCTCTCATGCATCACTCAATGAGAGTGGAAGAGACCCAAGAGACCTAGTGCTGAGACACTTAAGATGGCTATTGGTAATGTAGGAAATCTGACAAGTACCAGACTTTCCTCTGACGTGGAAGCGCAGCCATACTGCTATAAACCTTAAGAGAGGTTCTGAAAAGTCGCCTACTGGTTCAGGTAACTTGGCCCACACTGTTCCTTCTGTCAGGGCTGGAAGGATCTGCAGGATGAATCTTCCTGCCCCCCAAAGCAGCAAGGTGTCTTAGTTGTCATCAGCCCATTGCAGACCAGCCCAGCCCCTTACTTACGTTACTGAAAGACTCCACGACCAACAGCTCACGACCACATTTCAGCTCAAATAAAAAAAGGGCCGGAGGAAAAAGCGTATTGTCACAATGTGTTACTGCGTGGGAAACATGTCGGGAGATCCCGTCTCTTGGCACAGGGACAAAAAGATGCACAACTAGAGAGAATCACTTCAGCAGTGGCCTTTGGTGCCAAGACTAGTTGCTGCTGAGCTCAATAACTTCTGCCGTGCCAGAAGCACGCAGTCACAGGCAAACCCTTTACGCCAGGCTGCTGACGCAGGGAACAACTTCATGCTAGCATTGCATGAGTCGCTGAAAAATGATACCAGGAGAGCTGAACCCATGGTGATCCAGTTCTGGTGCAGAGGCAGAAAGTGTGATCTTACGGCACTTTGCCGGTGTGCTGACTAGCACGTTTACTTTCCTTTCTATTAGTGCTGGTTCTCCAGAGCACGTAGCTCAGAAGATAGTACTGGACAAGCACACCGTGACGGTGCAGTATTTGATACCGAGACCTGACCACAAAGCAGTCAGAGTAACAGTCAAGCAACGCTCTTGGAGCTAAACTCCAGGGAAAGGAGCCAGCAGCGCGGGTGTTTCTTCCCAAGCAGCAGAAAAGCTGTGCGATGACAACATTCATTCCACATGCGGCGGTGGGGTGGCACAGTGAGAAGAGGACCCTCTCTCAGCTACTTGGTGATACAGGTGAGTGACTGCAGGGCAGCAGATGGGGTACAAATCTATCCTGGTTCTCTTCTCCTGAGTAGAACCTGGCAGTCCCTGCCCCTGCGGAGGAGGAAGGATGGCAGTTCAGAAAGCCTTCCAAAAACTCGGAGTGTTAACTCGAGGCCTGCCCCTGGCTTTGCCAGAACGTAGAAATAAAGGTTAACTGTTTTCCTGCCTATCAGCAGAGGCAAAAAAAAAAGAGGATAGCACATCTACTCCAATAACTGAGAAATCTAGATTTTTCTTTTTCCTGTGTGGTTTAAACAACTGGCAAAGTAAGCGACTGACCGCATAGGACAAGGCATAGAAGGGAGCCGTGTCCCCTAGGTCTCTGGGGTTTGTTAAAGAGCTCTCTGTAGCACCTTCAGCGTTCTACATCTGGTCAAACCGACACTTCACCATCATTTGAGGTACTTGGCTCTAGCTGTATCGCCATCTTCACATTGCTTAATGCTCTACGTGAAGACTTCCGTCGGGTTTTAAACAAGGCGATAGCAGGGAGTAGAGCTGGAAAACCTGCGGTATATACTGCTGTGAGTTATTCCCGCGTCTTTGGGCGTTGTTCAAGGGGTACATAGTCAGAGCTGAATCAGACACTACACCCACAGTGGAAAAAAAAATCCCCAGCCACCCAGAGTAATAAACGCTCGCAGACGCAAATAGCAGTGCTAACATGCGAATGTGCTGATGTATCGTTTTCTACTGACAAACTCAAAGGAACTGTTCAGAAGATGGCTCCTCTAGACACATCCTAATAGATTACCCAGAAATTGGACACTTGCTGTGGGTTAGGACTACATCAAGGGGATTTCTGCAAGTAGCAAGTTGCTAAAATGATGCTTTTCTCAATCGCTAATTGCTCTGTGAATAAAATGGGTAAAAAAAATCCTATTTTTTTTTTCGTTAAAAAAAAAAAGTTTGGTGAAAAAGCGTGTTTCTGAAGAGTTGTGATGGTAAGCACAGAGCGTTGCGCTGAACTGCCGCACTTAACGTTTATGCTGCTGCACACATATGGCCGCACTCCCAGAGGAGCTGTCAGCAGAGACGATGCCCTTGCGGTCTGCTTTTGGGATCAATATGCCAAGGCACTAATTATTTCATGTTTTGAGCTGTCTGCTCCAAAAAGCATTTGCTTCCCCCACGTAACTAGTCAAGACACCTCATTTTACGTAAAAGGTTTTCTTCTGGTCTTAAAAAAGGGTGTTTGCACCCTGAGTCACGTGAGCAGGAGCAGACTGCATCCTCTAGACCTGTTGCAATCAAGTGACACATAATTGTCACCTTTGGCTACATCACAAAGAAACCATTATAAAATATGGCCTACCCACACAGAAAACCTTAGGGCTCTTTGAAAACTCAGTTTGCTTTAAAACAAAGAAAACCTTTGCACACTCCAGTGTATACGCAGAGTCAAATACTTCCTTACTCTAAAATACAGACTGAGTTTCAGCCTGTGCCATGTACCTCTGTCACGGCTGACCTGCTAAAGCCATTACAGACTATGACAAAGCCTATTAAGAAACCAGATGAAAACACAAATTTCACCATTTCTCTGGGTTATTTATACTGACGTATCTTGACTCATACCTCTGAAAAATGCATGCTTATGTCAGATAAAGACTGATTTTTCTATTTCTAATTCTGTCTTGGCATGAAACAGTTCATCTTGAACACTAATTTCCACTTAAACTATTTATAGTTTTACCAGCCAGTTACGTCTAACTTAACAAGTTAAACTCCAGATTGTTCTGTTCAAGACTTAAGCGCACAAATTTAAGGGTTTAAGTATATCTTTGTTTCACTCAGGATATTGCTGTATCTGCAAGCTGTGTGCCTGGACAGACCAGTGCTACTGGAGCAAGCAAGAAGAACAAACACCATATTCACCTTTCCCAAAATTTCTCTTTAAAAGCTTGGCAGAATGTTTTCTAGCAAAATGAACAGTGCATACGGGGTAATTTTCAGTTTCATCAAGCATGTTTTTTCACAATTTCCCTTTTCTTAGGGATTCTATGTACCATTTAGTCTTTACCTTACTAAGGAATCTTGGATCCAGGACTTTGCGAGTTTACTCAAAAATAAGGAACACTTCCCCTCAAACTCCTCCTTTGTTCTTTTAGTTTAGCTAGCCTGTTGCAAAGAAAACTATAGCAGAACTTTACACAATTACCTCCTCCAGTCAGAGTGGCAAAAAGCGGTCACTACAACAATGGTGTGTAAGGAGATAACTCATTTCTTGCTAAACATTATCGTCACAATGACGGACGAGATGGTGCTTTTCAGCTGGAAGATAACAACATTCATAGCAAATGCCCATTCTCCCTGGTCTCTACTGAATAAAATTGACATAGTTTAAAAAAATAAAAAGGATTGACAGATGCCTGATTGCTGGAGCAACAATAAAATCATAGCAAGAGGGATAAAAAAGTGATGCAATAATTGAACTACTGTTTAGTGAAATCAAAGAACACTTTTCAAAAGACAGTTTGAAGAATGAAGCACCATCAGCTAAAGGTAGCAACTGTGCAGTCTAAGCTATGAAGTAATACTCCAAGTCAGCTACTGCCACAAAGCTAAGTTAAGTTACCATGAGCATCACAAAGGTCAGAAAAAAACCCCAAAACCTCAAGTCATCAAGAACATAGCTAGAAATACCACTTGTTACAGCTGAGAATAATAGCCAGGAAGGCAAAAAGCTCAGAAACTACAATGATTAAATTAGCTATTTACAAATACAGTAGCATTTAGCAACTTAGAAATACACCTGAAGTAGTGTAGACATGCATACCATAAGAACACAGGAAGATGTCCAAGTGGCTGTAGAGTAAGTTACCTGAAGCACATCCAACACTCTCACTTAGCAGCAGTAGGAAAAAAAATGGGCAAGTAAGGTAAACAGGAGTAATTGAAGTGTTAATATTTCACCCGCTAACTTTTTCAGCCCATCCGTGAATATGAAGAAATATTTAGGCTAGGGGTGTTTTATTGTGGTAAAGTTTCTAGAAAGACAATATTACATAAAACAACTCTGCAATTATAAGGAAATGGAAGAAGTGTGTTCAAAATAATTGGCAAACTGAGTCAGTGTTGAGTGGAGTTTCAACTGGCAAAGTATCATTTCTGTACAGCTTTGTACTATGACTCTCATTTCAAGAATAGTGTTGGATGTTCTTTCTGTTGAGGGAAGAAGAACAATTCTGTAACACTTAGTATAATTACACTTTAATGAAACATTGAAGTTCTTCCTAAAGTGTTACAAAGATACAATACATTTGTAATATAAGTGTAAAGGCTCAACATCAAAATGAAAAGACTTAGTAAAAAATATAGATTAAAAGTTACCGCAGCAAAACAAAGTTATTACATTTACACTTGTGGATTTTTAGTGGTTTTTTTTTTTTTTTTTAAGAATGCCAGCAGTATTGACTGGCATATACAGACGAAATAAAATGCAGTGAGAGTTTTCTTCCTCCATACAGTATTCAATCAAGTACACTGCAATGAACATTGATTTCACGTGTAAGTGCAGAGACGATTTTAAACTCTGCATATAGTACTAATTTCAGCTTTTGTACAGCCCCATTTGCAACACATTCCTGCCAAACCCAGAGATTCCCGTTTTCTTCTGGGATACCTGGCCCAGATTGATGCCATAGGGTTTGCAATTCCTGTTCCTCCTCTGTCCTGAACAGCTTCCTCTATCTGCCGAACAAGTTCTTTGAAGTCATCTGCCACAGGTTCATATTCATTATAGTCATTGAAACTATACAAGTCCTTAAATGTCTCCCATCCAAGAAACGGGCTGCTTCTCTGCAGGTGCTCCACTTCAGGACTCAAAATGGATTGCAGCTTGAAGTTTCCCAGGAGCTTGTTACTTGCTGTTTGTGCAGAATCTGTTTAAAGAGAAGACTTTTTTTAAAGTTCAGGCTGTAGGAATATCAAAAGGAAGACGTAGTTCTAAGAAGCAGCAATAAAAACTGTTAAATTAGTAATAAGCAAAGCACTGTTATCTAGGAGAACTGTCAGTTCTGTAGAGTGTCCACTCCATGACTTACTTATAGCTTACTTTTAGGAGAATCTTCATGTTTTAAAGGCTGTGCTGCCTGTTAGACATGGAGCTACATAGCTACAGCTGTGACTGAGGTATAGACATCCTATCACAACTGCAGCGTTTCTCATATAGAAGTCTCAATATTTCTATAAAACAAAATTTTGTTGTAAAGACACATATTGAGAAACTGCACAGAGCTATGCTGTGTGGCTCATGAACTAGATTAGACCACCCCTCTGCCATGCACAATCACACATCATATGAAGAACAAATGTAGGGAGGACTAAATAAGCAAGTATCCTGTGTAAACTGCATCTCATAGATTGTATTTTTCTATAGCTATTTTCAGGCGATACTTTCAGGCCACTGAATTATTTCATTTCTCAAGGCATAGCAAGAATTTGCTTAGAAACACACTTTGCCTCACTGACTGAAGTGTTCTCAAAAATCCAGCTCTACTTCCTTTCATCTCACACTGTTTCTCTTGGTTTTACTTCTGCAAGGCAAGTGACATTTCTTCACATTAGCTGAAAAGTAAACAACACGGCTCCTTCAGTCCTTAAGTAAGTCCAAAAAATCCCAAATAAGTGCTTGTTTTGTGGTCTTGTTAGTGGTTTTTTTTTGTTTCAGAAAGCTGAAAGAACATGAGAACATCCAGTGAATGTTACATTCACTTTAATATGGCTAATTAATATAGAAGCTAATTTTCAGGAGAACAGCTGCCCGAATATGTACGAAAATAAAAGTGGTTGTAGCTACTTTACTAATTAGGCAGTAACTGCCATTTAGTAGTCTTTTGGGGCAGGGAAGACTTTTAGTTAGACAGCACGCAGCACAGCATGGGCTGCTCAGTGACTGATGCTCTCCAAAGCTACGGTTATTAAAAAGGAAAATAAAGTTTTGTGGAAAAGAACACATTCCCAGCAGAGGCTGTACATGTTTAATTTGTTATAATTACAAAGTTAACTTTTATCTACTACCCAACATGTTGGAAAAAAACCAGAAGCCCAAGAAACCCAAAATACTGGCTTCATTAACTGCCTGAGGTCCAATGTTGTTTCATTAGCAGCATGTTTATAAGCAAGAAAAAAGAAGCTCTTCCATTGCACTTTTTAGCCATAATGCTAACTTTTGTCCTTGTTAAAAATCTTACGTTCACTATTCAAAAATCAACATAAATTGAGAGTCATCGCTTAACATTACTGTAGTATGAGAACACAGTCCCCTCCCCAAAATCGGCCTAGGCTTTGTTAATGCAGTGGACTTGAAGCACACAACAGTAAAATTTGCTGAGGCGTATTTTACCCATTAATTGTGTCACCTAGGATCCCTAAAGCAGTTCTTGCTGTTTAAATTGTAACCAGAAATTGAAGCACCAGAGAGTCCCATCCACCCTCCAACGTGCCAACTCTTCTGCACAGAGCAGCACAAGCGAGTGATGAGAACCCCCAAAACGATTGCACACCCAGCAACGCCCCTGGCACAGCCCGGAAAGGCGAGGAGCACAGCTTGGAAGCGCCCGGCAGAGAGGGAAAACCGAGCCAGGTCTCCCCGTCCCGAAGAGATACCGAGCTTTGGGAATGGAGCGAGACCGCAGCAAGGGGCACTCCCTACCGCGTCCAAGAGTGCGGCACACCTCCCTGCGTGATTTTTTTGTTTTGTTTTGTTTTGTTTGAATAGTAAGAAGCTCAGTGAGCTTCGG